ATATAATTCATATATTATAGATTCAAGATACTTAGCCAAAGGATTTTACAATTTAAACATGACTTTTGATAAAATAGAGACTTCTATGATTCTTCTACTGATCCATCTCATATTTATCATCCAGATAGAAATTTTCATTTTTAAATAATAAAATAGCATTGGGAGTCTTATTAGTTTGGAAGGATGGATCATATATAAAGACATGGAATATTTAAAAAACCTCATTATGCATTGCCTATATATTTTAATTTAACTTATGGTGATGGGTAGGTTTATCAAGTAATTAATATTCAGCATCATTTAATAATCCTGGAGGTGGATCAAATTTAATTGGTCGTACTAATCTTGAAAGTGCTCGTTACTTTAATGTTAGTTTAACTAACTTCTAAGATAACAATTTATATATTGAATTCATATGTGATGTTACTTCTGCAAATATAACGAAAGAATTCTGTGCAATATCAGACTATTTAATTGTTGTTCATTACGTATTATTATTAATTTATTTTAGTGTCCTCCTTTTTGTTTGGATTGTACAAGTCTAACTACTTGTAATGCAGGTTATTCTGGATTTAATTGTGCAATTACATAATATTTGGATTTTAATTCCACAACAACTGAAGTTTATAGTTGCAAAAATTGTATTTAATCAGAATGTCATATATTTATCAATTAAGATGAATGTACTTAATGTAAAAATAATAAATTTTAATTATTAAATGGAATTTTCTTGTGTAATCCATTTACCTTCTTAAAAGGAGATGAAAGTATCAAATGTGATAATTATTGTGAAAATTGTTATGGTAATTCTATCTAAAATTATTTAATTTTTATTAAAGATTATAATAGAGGGATAAAAAGAAATCAATACTTATACTTACCTGGATACTATGATGATGGAATTAATTTACCATGTTTTACACTTTGGGGTGATTTAATAGTACTAGAAGAAGAAGATTGTAATGATGGTAATAATAATCCATTTGACAGTTGTCATAAGTGTGAATTTGCTTGTAATTTTGCATGTGATATTTGCTTAAATAGAAAATACTACTGGTGTAAAAGTGGATATGAAGTACATAATAATGATTGTCATTCAATTTGTTAAGGAAATTAATTAACAGAAAATTCAAGAAATTGTGTTAATAGTTAGTATGAATGTTCCT